AAAGTACTTTTGAAATTTTCCTCAACACAACATATATTGAATAGAAACTAGCACTTAAAGCCTCTTTTTTATAGAACAAATCTCACATACTATATGCCAACGAATGTGTAATTTGGAGAACAGCAAAATTTATAATAATTCATACTTTAGACTACCTCTCCCATGTGATAAAGTTCATACTCTCACAATATTAATTTTGCCAAGACCCAGTACTAATGATATGCTCATATTGGTAATGGAAAGGGTATACAAAATGTGGCCTTTTATAACTAGTTGATGCCTTCTCCCCAAACTTCCATTAATAAGATGATTCAACCATAAAAATAAACATAAAATCTTTCCAACTAGTCATGATTCAAGAGGATCAAATATGCCCTTGATGCATTACATACAATGATATATTCAATATGCTAAGAAATATCCTTATATCACATAACCAGTACATTCTCCATTATTTTTCCAACCATCAAATCAAGAGCAAAACTAGGCATAATGCTAAGTCCCCAAAGTCAAAACAAATGATTCTTTCAATAACCAAGAAAAACGGGATACTAGGAAAAATTATTTAAGATGATCTCACTCCCATAATTTCATATAAACAAAACTCTAAAACAGATAAGAGACATGTAACAATTTGAAGCCGAAGAAAACAAGACTAAAATATTTTAAGCAAGAGAGATATATAGGATTCCTCATATCCAATCATAAGTTCTAAAGAAATTAACTCCAACCATTTTCAAATAAACTCCCTCAACTTCGTTGTTGCTCGCAAACGTGAGACGCACAATAATAAATTCCCAAACTCCAATATACAACATGTATGTAATGGGAAAATATAAAACCCTGTCAACCATCTCCGAAGCATCACCACAAGGATAAAATCGAATAGGAAAGAAAAATCCTTCCAACATCACCTTAGAAGATTCACCAACATTCACCATAAACTAAGTGTCAACCATAAGCTTCATGAATTATGACTAAAGTAAAGTTTCACCTCGAACCCAAAACATCAACATTCTCTTCCAATGGTGTTTCAACAAACATTTGATATGCAATACTTGAAGGGTCACACAAAAGAGAATGACCACAAAAGGGCATGACTTATGCATATATTTAATCAATATTCTCCAAATAACTCACAAAAGCATTCTCATAATCCATATAATGATTACTTCACCAAGAAGACGTATGCATAAGAGTAAAAGAACTAACTAAAGAAGTTTCATTCTCAGATTTTTTTAGCGGAAGAAATAGTAAGAGAAGGAGAAAAGTGCACATGAATTTCTCTAATCGCCATTCTCCATCAAATAAATACACATACATTTCTTTTTCTCTTTTTTCACAAAATCACTAGATAATAAGCATCACGTCTTTTATGAAATTCGTTGGACCAAAACTTAATACAATGCTCCATATATATTCCTCTAACAGTAACTATAAATCATGATTGAGAGGTTCAAATCCACACTCAAACTTTACTTTTTCTAAGATATATGAGTGTATAAAGAAGGATCTCATTCCGTTTCAAATTGATCCTTGGAAATAAAAGTGGGTCGAAGTACAAATACAACTTTCTACGGCGCTCTTTCTTTCTTTCTTTTTTAAACCAAAATCCACACCGCTCCTTAACAAGCATTAGCATGAACATCTTGTGTGCGTATATATATATATTTTTTTAAACAAAGAGCACCATCGTCTTTCATGATCTTTCACAAAACTATACATAAGACATTGTCTAGCATGGCATGAATCCCAAACAGGTTTGATGTGTATAAAGAAGTAAGAAACAACTTACAGATTTCCTTTGCATAACTTATGAAAAAGAACCATAGCCTACGTATGAACTTTAAATAAGAATTAGAATGCCAAACATCAAAGCACCTATTATCAAAGCCAAATCATTCGCATGCTACCACTTAGCTCAATATCAAAAGAGATTTATACTTCTCATTGCATACTCATATATCAAAATTTAACTCAAGCTCAAAAGAATCCAAATGCTGCTCACATTCAAGAGAGCTGCAAAAAGAGGGGAGAAGCCAGGGAGAGGAAAAAAAAATGGAGAAAAAGAAAAAGTAGAAGAAAGTAGAAATTAGGAGGGAGAAGAAGGAGAAGAAGGAGGTATACCTGCCTTAAAGAAGGAAGTAGAGGAGGCGTCGGTTGGGGCAAGAGAGGAGAGCTAGTCCGGTGGTGGTGTCGGGTTCGGCTCTGGCTAGGGGGTCGGACGGTCTTCGGGCTCAGTCTTCTTCTAAGCTTCTTCAAACGAGAGGGAGTGAGCTGAGAGCTCTTAGCTCTACGAATCGGAGCCCGAGAGCCAGCAGGAGGGAGCTTCAGTTTCGTTGGGCTTCTGCGAACTAGAGTGAGAGGGGTCGACGGAGAATGTGGGAGAGGGGTTTTGCCTGGGACTTTTGCGAACGAAGGGAGAGAGCCTTCGGGCCGTGCGAAATCGAGAAAGAGAGGGAGGGAGGCGTGAATCTGGAGCTGTGCGACCTAGAGGAGATCGGGGAGAGAGGATGCGTGCGAATGGAAGATCGAGAGGAGTGTTTCTTTTGCTTCCTTTTTTTTTTTTTGTCCGAACCCCGAGAGCCCCGCGTGAGATGGAGGGTTTTTTGGCCTCACTTAGGGCACCAAGGGAGAGGAGGGTAGAACGGAGTCGTCCGATCAAATTATTGATCTAACGGTGATTCAGATTGGCTTAGAAAATCAATCGAATTTTGATTAGGATTAGTTACACCCAAGTGACTGAAATCAGGTCCAAATTGAGTAAAGTTTGGTTCGATCCGGGTCAACTCGAGCTCGCCTCAAAATTAATTCAATAAAATAAAATATAAAACAAACTCAAATCAATGCAGAATCGAATTGAATCGAGCCCGACAAGACCCGATCAACTCAATCAAATGCGCCCGAGGGCAAATTAAGCCAAAAACGAGGTCAACAATACGTAGAATATACGTGTTATATGGTATATAATAGCAGCACTGGGTATTGGGATTGGAAGGATTGGATTTGAGAATTGAAGAATTGGATTTTTGGATTTTGGGTTGGAAGATTTGATATTTAAAATAAAAATTGCACCATCTTGCACTTAAAGCGGATGGTGGGGGAATGGATGATGGACCCGATCAAGATCCCATGGTTCCGTCGTCCCGGAAGTTTTGTGAACCCCTCCGGTTGAGATAAACATTCAACACGACCATCATCGGGGTGACCTTGAGGTCACTTGAAATTTTTTTGGATTTTGTATAAGTTTGAGGGCATTTTGAAATATATTGTGGACCCCTCCGGTTGAGATAAGCAATCAACACGGCCATCATCGGGGTGTACTTGGGGTCATTTTCATTTGTTGATTGAACCTTGTCGACCATATCAACTTAATGACAGGGGATCGGGATTTGTAGGCTTTATGCCTTTTGTTGGTGAATTTTCTTGATTTTATGTCTTGAAGGCCTAAAATGAATGTATTTAAACAAATACACCGGTCGCTAGAACCGTGTATTTTGTTAGGTAGTTCGAATCTTGTCGACTTCTATTGATCCGTATAGAAGGTTCGGATTCGAACTTGAATTCACTTGTCAACCCACGTAGCATCCCTAGGAATCACGTGTGTATTAATAACACGCTCGCCGGGGCCCATGCGGGTTATTTTTATATACCCCTTTAGTATACCTATGTGTATACAGTTTGTAGTGCACGTGGGTATTTAGAAATATTTGTAGACGCCTTCTGTCTGCTTGTACAGAGGTTGCAGATCCGATGGCGTGGCGTTGTAGATTGTAGATGCCTTCTGTCTGCTTTCATAGATGTTGTAGATCCGGTGGCGTGGCGTTGTAGATTGTAGACGCCTTCTGTCTGCTTTCATAGATGTTGCAGATCCGGTGGCGTGGTTATTTGGATGTCATGAGGTATTTCCTCATCTTCACATTGACTCCCCTTTCTCAATCACCAGGGACGGTTTTCTTTCGGACTTTGAAGTCCACTGGTTGCTGCTTTGCTTTGAAAAGATCTCGTTTCGAGATCTTTAATGTAATGGACTTTTTCGTACATCGGGTTGCCGTTGTACTCGAAATACTTGTAGATCTTGATCACCGTTGCTGTAGGTGATATCTATACTTGTGCCCACAGTAGTTCGTTATGCTTACGATATACACACTGTTGTTATCCACAAGTTGTTTGTAGTCATTTGCAGGGGACCGGTTATACTCACTACGACCCCCTGAAGGTATTTGTAGGAGACCCATTGACATCAGTATTGTGTCCACCTTTCACCAATCTCAGGTGGGCTGATGTCTGCATTTATTTGTAGAGGATGGATCTTTAATTGCTGATCTCCAGTATTGCCTTCTCAATCAACAAGCAATCGTAGGGATTGTTGTAGGAGTTTATGCATCAAGGTCTTGTAACCTACTTTGAGTCACTATTGACCATACAGATGTTCTTGTAGTTTGAATCCCCTCGCACATAATTCAAACTTTTCCCTTTGTATATGTTTGGATCCAAGTTCAATTTCATTCAGACTTGAATTCATCAAGTTTACAAGTCCCCATTTGATGTCGTATAGTCCGAGTACAAACATGAGCTTGAAGTGTATGTTCCGAAGTGCATGTTCAAATTGATTGTCCAGGGTCTTCTGAAGTTCTTGCAAGTGCATATGTATTTTCGAGTTGATTTGAATTTGAATTTGATCTTTTATTAGTCAATTGAGTTTTGTTCTAATCCTCTGCTCGTGTTCAATCAAGTTCAAAAGTCCACAAATATGAGTTCACTGTTGTTCATTTGAGTGCGAGCTCTTGTTCTTCTTTGAGTTCAAAATAGGTCCCAAGTAGAGTAATATTTCACCCGAAATTTCGGCAGCCTCCCGGCGTCTCCTCCGTTTAGGAGAAAACTACGGAAAATTGGGCCTTTCCCACCACGCTAAGAAAAGCATGTATGGTAGATGCCCTCTTTGGAGGACACCGCGGCCGTGTAAAGTCTTTTTCCCCACCACGCTAAGAAAAGCGTGCATGGGTCTTCTATCGGTACCAGTTGCAGGAGAAAAAGCAGTTGTTTCTCCGCAAGCGGGTACTTATGGGTATCCCGATCTCGTCGTACGCATCGCACCGGATTCCCTTCCTACCACGCCAAGAAAAGCGTGCATAGGTGATTTGCCGGTGCGTTACGAACTTCGAAGAAGGATTTGGAACCATGGGTCGCTCGCCTACCTTGTCGTAGGTGTCGCGCCGGTTGCCCCTCCTACCACGCTAAGAAAAGCGTGTATAGGCAGACCACCGACTCGACACACATGCCGAGGTAAGAGAGCAAACAAGGGTTCCATAAGTTATACCTTCGGCCGCCGGCGGACTAGTGGACCGGCGGTGGATGTCGGCTCGGATGTCGAGGAAGGCCCGGGGACCGAGGCGGGACCGAGGCAAGAGGCATGCTTTCTCTTTTTCATTATTAATCTTAATTAATTATAATTAATAATAATTAAATTTAATTAATTATAATTAACAATAATTAATTAAAGAATAACATAATTAATTATGATTTAATTAATCATAATTAATTAAAAGTCATCTTTAATTAATTATAATTAAAAATAATTAGATTATAATTAACTTAACTAATTAAGATTAATTTCAATTAATTAAAATTAATACATATATATTTTATTTTGTTTTGGCCGGACTTAGGCTAAATCCAACCAAATGGTTTTAGTGCACGCGTTAAATCCCGGCGGTGGGTAGATCCCGGATTTAAGGATTTACAGCTTAAATCCCGTATTTACTAAATCCCTCGGTTCGGTGGATTTCTGGGATTTGGCCGAAGAAGAGCGTGAAAGGTAGAAAGTTACCTTCACCAAAAGCGAGCTCCCGTTGCTTCTTCCAATCGGAGAGAGGGGCGCCGGCAGAGGAGCTAAGTCGAACAGTCAGAAGGAGCCAAAGAAGCGTGCACAAGGGAGAGAGTTTCCTTCACAGCAGCGAACTCCCGTTCTTTACTTCCGATCAAATTGTCGCCACTTCTGATCCTACAAGCAGGGAGCGTCGTTGGAGAGGCGAAGTCGTTCGACCATAAAGGAGTCGGAGAGAGAGTGGAGCGAGGCAGCGAGAGTGAGAGAAAACGGGGTCCGGGGAACCAGCAGAGACCGAAGGCCTCGTCCATTCGCTCCTTTTAACGACGCCAGCGCGCTCTGTGAGCGACGTGGGGGAGAAGATTGTGCACGAAGTGACTCGGGCGTGGCTTCGACGTGCAAACGACGTGGGAGCGGCAGAGAGCAGGTAAGGGATTTGATTTTTTTTTTTTTTGTTTAAACTTTACAGGTCAACACTCCTCAAATTCTCTTAATTTCTCATACCATTTCTCTGTTAGCCGATTTTTGAAAATTAAATTGGATTTAAAAAAGTTATATAAGTGACTTTAGATCTTTAAAATAAAATATTAATATAACTATTTAATTTATTCAATTTTCAATAGAAAATTCATATAAATCTATTTGAAACCTTAAAGATTATAGATACATATTCATAAAATAAATCATTTTATTTTGAAAATATTGATGAAATCAGTTTGTACAATGGACACCTGATGGCTCCAAAATCCTCATATGTAACAACATATGTCAATTTCATAAAAAATTTTACTAACGCCCAAAAGTTACGAAAAAATTCATGCAAGTAAAATACTACAATAGCAATACTATGACAAATATGATTTGTGATTTGGAGTTATATTGACAGCAGAAAAAAAATATTTACCTAGGTCAAAATACGGGTCATTACAAAAGTTCAGATTTAAGTAATATTTTTTCAGGATCGTATCAGTATGAGTAAATCGTCGACTCAGTAAACAGAATCACCACTCTTTTCTCGTCATCTCATTAGTAACTCTTTATAACTCCCAATCGTTGTATCATTATATCACATGAATCAGTAGATGATAATACATAACTATAGTATTTAAAGAAAAGTCTGTCGGCCCATCATGTATAGGTCAATCAATCTTTACTTATCTTTTACATACATTATAATAAAAGAAATAACGAAGAACTATTATCCAATCAAATATTCATTTTCAGTCTCAACAGTTGTATTAACAGTATGATTGGAAAAAAAATAAAATCATACAAAATTTTTATAACTTTATTTTACCTGGTGAAATTCAGAAATGTTACAATAAACATCTCAAATATAATTAGTACGATCTCGTATAAAAAGTTGTGCGATAAAAAGTTCAATAAAATCGAAAAAAAATATATTAAAATAATTTATGAGGAGAAGTCAACGGGCAAAATCAAAATATTTGAAAATATAGATATGATTAAAATCACCTATCACGATATGAACAATTTTCATAAAATTGACAAAGAGACTGAAACCCCATATTTTCCTTTCTTTATGTTGCACTTCAATTCAAACAGGAATTCAATTTTTTTTAAAAAAAATTGAATTGTTATAAGACGAATGACATCGAAGGAGACCGTGCCAACTAGCTTACCATGTGGTCACTTTACATCATGGAGAGTGCTCATCCGAAGTGATGCGAACACTTTGATCGAGTCCCTTATTACGGTCCTGTTAGATACCTACAATATATCAATATAGACATATACGAGCATAGATTGATAAGTCTTTATTTTAATTTTTATAATGTTAGATTCAAAATATAGCATTAATGTTCTTTATAAATTAGATGCAATTTATTGTGACATAAATCCCATTGATAAAGAAATATATACCAATGTAAAAATAAAGGGCCTATAATAAAATCAGAAATAAAGATAAAAGTGTAAATATTAAAAAAAAAAAAATTGTAATACTGGTAAAAATGTGTATTAAAATGTTAACTAAGATGATTAAAGTATTGAAAATGTACATTAAAAGCTTTGGTCATTCCTAATAAGTTTTCATTAAAATATTCTTTGCATCAACAAAATGTAATTAGAGTTAAATTAGAATTAATTAAAATGTTTTAACAAAGAAAGAGGACACTAATTAATGTAGTTTTTTAATTAGATAAATTAATTACCATCAGTCCATCGAAACGGACTTGCATTAACGCATCTCTAATCCTTCAATTTTTATAATTAATAACCATAAAATATTTCAGTGCCACGTCTCTTTTAGAAGATCTTGACCGTCCATTCTCCGTAATTAGTTTAGGCCGTCCACATGGCATCATCATAGATCAGCAGGTTTAGCGGGATGACTTCTTGACCTCATCTCGTCCGTCCGATTCCCGATCAAGACGTGGCCCGCATACGACGGCAGTGGTGGAGCGATTCCGTTGTAGAAATCCACGTATATTTTTTATTAATTTAGATTTCCTTATTTTTCGATCGGAGGGCCACCGGCTGCGATTACTCAGTTTCTATGAATCCTGACCGCATGATGGGCCTATAGAGATTACCGTCAGATTCGACTGAGAATGAAATCCGTCCGTAAGAAAAAAAATTAATTATTATTTTGTCTCAATTAGTTGTGAATTTTTTTAAAAAAATTATTAAAAAAAGGATTTTTATAAATCAAATTGGCTTTCTTTAAAATAAAAAAGGAAGTTTTATGGTTTCTTCCCTCCTATCATCTCTCTTCAATGAGGCAACTAGTTTTTATTTATTTATTTCACATATATTATTATCATAATACTATAATAGTAATTTCAATGACATATCCGCATTCATTTCTAATATATTGCAACAAATAATGTACAATTGAACTTAATTCAAAAAATAGCAAAATGTCATAATGGTAGATAACAAAAATCATACTGAGCAAAAATTTATATTTTTAGAATTTAACCAAATTACCAAATATTGCATCAAAATAATATTCTGAAGCATTAAGTGAACTAAATTACTATTTTTAGAGGTCAAAAATAAATTTATGAGTAGATAAAAATTATAGTATTTTTTAAAATAACTAGAGTAATAATGCTCAAATGAATACTCAAAATATTCATAATCTCAATCTCTATAACATATAAAAAGTTATGAGGTGAAAGTTTTATCAATACAAAATTATTCTCATTTTTGGGCAACAAAAATATAAATTTGATCGAAAAAAAATCAAAAACACAAAATCCTTGAAATTATAAATAGGATAAAGATTCTTTAGAACGAGACGAGCAAATCTCCAAAAATACTTGACTGATAAAAATCGCTCTGTCTTTTAAATATGATCTTTTCTTTTCTCTCTCCTCAAATTTTCTTAATTTCTCATGCCATTTCTCTCTATTAGCCGATTTTCAAAAATTAAATTGGATTTAAAATAGTTAAATAAGTGACTTTAGATCTTTAAAATAAAATATTAATATAACTATTTAATTTAATCAATTTTCAATAGAAAATCATATAAATATATTTGGAACCTTAAAGATTATAGATACATATTCATAAAATAAAACATTTTATTTAAAAAATATCGATAAAATCTGTTTGTAAAACGGACACATGATGATTCCAAAATCCTCATCTGTAACAACAATTGTCAATTTCATAAGAATTTTAGTAGCGCCCAAAAGTTACGAAAAAAATCATGCAAGTAAAATACTACAATAACAATACCGTGACAAAGATGATTTGTGATTTGGAGTTATATTGACTACAAAAAAAAAGTTACCTAGGTCAAAATATATGGGTCATTACAGAAGTTTGATTTAAGTAATATTTTTTCAGTATCATATCAGTATGAGTAAACCGTCGACTCGGTAAATAAAATCACCACTCTTTGCCAATCATCTCATTAATAACTCTTTATAACTCCCAATAATTATATCATTATATCACGTGAATCAGTAGATGATAACACCTAACTATAGTATTTAAAGAAAAGTTTGTCGGTCCATCATCCTGTAAGGTCAATCAATCTTCAACTAAGAGGTCAACCAATCTTTACTTATCTTTTACATACATTATAATAAAAGGAATAACGAAGAACTATTATCCAATCAAATATTCATTTTCAATCTCAACGGCTATATTAACAGTATGCTTGGAAAAAATAAAATCATACAAAATTTTTATAACTTTATTTTACATGGTGAAATTCAAAAATGTTACAGTAAACATCTCAAATATAATTAGTACGATGTCGTATAAAAAGTTCAATAAAACTGGAAAAATATATTAAAATAATTTATGAGGAGAAGTCAGCGAGCAAAATCAAAATTTTTGAAAATATAGATATGATTAAAATCACCTACCACGATATGAACAATTTTCACAAAAATAACAAAGCGATCTGGAGGCGAAAACCCCATATTTTCCTTTCTTTCTGTTGCACTGCAATTCAAACATAATTTTTTTTTTAATTTGAATTGTTATAAGACGAATGACATTGAAGGCTCAAGTAAGCCTAGACGAGGCCTTTTGGGAGACTCGTGCCAACCATCTTACCATGTGGTCACTTTACATCATGGAGAGTGCTCATCCAAAGTGATGCGAACACTTTGATCGAGTCTCTTATTGCGGTCCTGTTAGATAACTACAATATATCAATATAGACATATACGAGCATAGATTGATAAGTATTTATTTTAATTTTTATAATGTTAGATTCAAAATATAGCATTAATGTTCTTTATAAATTAGATGCAATTTCTTGTGACATAAATCCCATTGATAAAGAAATAGATACCAATGTAAAAATAAAGGGCCTACAATAAAATCAGAAATAAAGATAAAAGTGTAAATATTAAAAAATAATAGTTGTAATACTGGTAAAAATGTGTATTAAAATGTTAACTAAGATGATTAAATTATTGAGAATGTACATTAAAAGCTTTGGTCATTCCTAATAAGTTTTCATTAAACTATTCTTTGCATCAACAAAATGTAATTAGAGTTAAATTAGAATTAATTAAAATGTTTTAACAAAGAAAGAGGACACTAATTAATGTAGTTTTTTTATTAGATAAATTAATTACCATCAGTCCATCGAAACGGACTTGCATTAACGCATCTCTAATCCTTCAATTTTTATAATTAATAACCATAAAATATTTCAGTGCCACGTCTCTTTTAGAAGATCTTGACCGTCCATTCTCCGTAATTAGTTTAGGCCGTCCACATGGCATCATCATAGATCAACAGGTTTAGCGGGAATGACTTCTTGACCTCATCTCGTCCGTCCGATTCCCGATCAAGACGTGGCCCGCATACGACGGCAGTGGTGGAGCGATTCCGTTGTAGAAATCCACGCATATTTTTTATTAATTTAGATTTCCTTATTTTTCGATCGGAGGGCCACCGGCTGCGATTACTCTGTTTCTATGAATCCTGACCGCAGGGGGGGGGGAGGAAATTCGGGGCAAAGCCCATTCATTAACCAAAGCATGAATACAGATGGTAGATATGTACGCTTGATGGTAGTTATTGTTCTTCAAATAGATTCAACGGAAGTAAGGAACTATATTTCATCAATCAATTTGAAGAACAATAAAGCAAAGTATGAAATTGTATTGTAAAATATGTCCTTTAGACCATGGGGCTTATGGCTTAAGATCCGCAGTCATTTTCAATTTAAAATAGTTTTATCTATTTAAACATAACTATTAACGTCTAATGATACAAAACTATTATAATTACTAAAATGACTATTCCTACAGAAGGAAAATCGCTTTCTGTAAAAATACTTAAGAAGGAAAACTAGAATAATAAAGAGAGCATCTTGTGGTTGAATGGTAATTTATCTTTTCTTCTTTAAAAGAAGCTTCAATGGTGAGGGTAACTATAAAGCAACTTGTGAACTGGTGTATGTTTGAGCATTGCTATTCAATAGTTAGTCTTCTACATTTTTTGATGATAATGTTATTTGACGTATCATTTTAACTTTTGAAAATAATTGAAGTATTTCTATAGCTCAATTTCTCACGCTTATTGTTTTTGTAACCATTTTCAGGATGTCTATAAATGAAGTCGAAGATAGTACCACAAAGAATCAGAAGCAATGCAACTGTCGCAACTCAAAATGCTTGAAGCTGTAGGTGTCATGGATTACTATATGATGAACTGGTTCTATTTTTTTCATCAGAGCTATTAGAAAGTGATACGACTACAAAATATTTAGGGGTAAACAACGACTTGAGTTTGCTAGAATCTCTAGAAAATGGGGAATTTAGGAGGAAGAGGAGATTCTCGGTCAAGGTAGATTAGTTCATTTCATTTGATACCCCAGTGCTATCAAATGTAGGGTATTTAAAAACTTGTAAGGACACATTTGCTACCTAATATCCACAATTTACTTACTGACTACATGACCCAAACAACACATTAACCTAATCTCACTCTAACGTATTGACTTGTAAGGACACATTTGCCTACCTCTCACAGTTTCACCACTATTTTTGTTGCCTTCCATGATTTGAAGGTCTTGTATAGATTTCTCGGTTGGATTTTTCTTGTTTGTTATGTGTTTCAACCTTAAGGGTAAGGTTGGTTTTGAAGGTTTGGATAATTATAGTGTCAATGATTATTATAAATAGTGTGCGATTAGGTTAATGTGTTATTTGGGTCATTTAGTCAATAGATAATTAGTGGGTATTAGGTGATTAGGATGTCCTTGTAATTCTTTAAGTAATCTTCTTTTGGGAGCATTAGGATATCAAATCAAATGAACTAATACTTCTTGACTGAGATTCTCCACTTCCCATTTCTCAATCCCTTATATGTTGGAGTTTGCAGCGAACTCAAATCATCGTTTATCCCTCAGTCCTCCAAGGTTATGTCAGATAGCTAAGGGGCCACTTTGGATCGCTTTTGTTTTTGTTTTTATAGATATTGATTATTTATTTTATTTTTCATAATTGCTGTATAGGTACTGTGAGTGCTTTGCTTCTGGAGTTTACTGCAATGGCTGCAGTTGTACAAATTGCAGTAACAATGTTGAGAATGACACTGTAAGGAGAGATGCTATTGAAGTCATCTTAGAACGCAATCCAAATGCTTTTAGGCCAAAGATTGCTAGCAGTCCACATGCAGTTGGGGACATAAAGGTTTGTCTTTATGCACTTCATCAATACATTTCCTTGCAGTATATAAACTTAGGCAACCTATTACTTTTATTTTTCAAAGTTTCAACCTTGTATTCCTCTAGTAATGTTTGGAAGCACTCGTGCTGCACATTTTAGTGACAAGTGATTGACTTTGTTTGGATGTTAGAACGATCCTGCTCGTTTTCAATATTTTTGCTCTCTTTTCGAATAACCCACTATATATGCTGTTGCATCCTATTTTCTGAACAAAAAGTCCAAAGGGAATTCCCTGAAAGGATGGAATGTTTGCAAGCACTCCTGCTGTACATGTTAGTGATAAGTGATTGACTTTGTTTGGATGTCAGAACAATCCTGCTCGTATTTTTGTCCTCTTTTTGAATGACCCGCTATAAATGCTGTTGCATTCTATTTTCTAGACAAAAAGACCAAAGGGAATTTCCTGGAAGGATGGAACGTTGTCTATCAAACGCCAAAGTTCTTGTGAATGATATGATGGTTGACGATCCATAATTCCCTATGTTAAGGCATTCCACATATAATTTTTTCCCCTATTTACTATGATATGTGATGAGAATGGTCGTTCCAATAATACTGGTATTCCATTCTTTTTTTAAAATTTTGCATTAATTACTATTATATCAGTTAAATATCTTATATTACTCGGCAAAGATAAAAAGAATCTTTATATTAATTACTGCTATATCTCCTTATTATTAATTAATGACTTAGATTAAACATTAAGTGATGGATTAAAATATTAATTATGGCTTGGTTAATCAAGCCATGAGCAATTGGCGTTTTACCAATCATCCATCCACCTTAAAAAAATCAGAATTCTTCCTTTTTGCTTGTTTCTTTTGACTGCCCCTCATCACCAGCCGATAGCCTGCCATGGTCTACTCCTCATCACCTGATTGTCATCTACTAGCCTCTCACCACCAAGTAGATCTCGCCAACATCCACCAATGCTTGCCAACTACCACCACTGTTGGTGTTGTTCAATTCGCGGCCATTGCCTTTTGTAAGCCTAACTGTTTACATCCTGATTTGGTACCTTCATTCATTGTTGTTTATATTGGTCATTGCACATGGTAGTGAATGAGGTCAGACATGGACAAGTGAATTTATTATTTAAGTTTTTTGAAATATTTTAGAATATGTAATGAATGCTAACCAAGATGCTATATTTGACATAATGAGAAGTTATGGGGTTATCCAAGTAATATTACAGTTTTGTTTTCTGGATTGTTAAAATAGAAAATATTAAGTTGAAATTATTTCAATGTCTACACACTTGCATGTGTTGTAAATTCCTGTATTAAAGGCACAATATGCATATCTTAAAACTAACTCAATACTTTTAGTGCTTATAGGACTTTACAAAATTAATGTATAGATTAAAAAAAGGGGCCTAGAACACGAGGTGCCGCCATTGCTAGATCTGAGGAAAAAGTTATGTAGACAACCTTACTCCTTCATTGTAATATGAATGCATGGTTCAAACCTAACAGTCTAGTAATTAAGGAGGAAAATTAACTATTATTCCAGGGCTTACCATTCTTAAGGGATCAATTTGCTTTCTTAATTGTCATCATCTTATCTGAGGTTTAAACTAACATGTTTAAGTGGTCAAGAAATCTGGGATGGTTTATCCTCTTTCTCTGCTTAAGGGATGGACTCGGGCCTGGGTGGGGGTGTTATTGGACTTAGAAGATTACTATGCTTTTACCTTTACATATAACCTCAATTCTACTCTCTAGTCATTCATTTACTTTTCTTATTTATGTACTAATTAAATCCCTGTTTTTTGCTAGGATGAGGTCGTTGAGTTACCTTATATGGTAAAGCATAACAAAGGATGCCATTGCAAGAAATCAGGGTGCCTTAAGAAATACTGTGAGTGCTTTCAAGCCAAAATTCTCTGCTCTGAAAATTGCAAATGTGTAGATTGCAAGAACTTCAAAGAGAACCAGGCCACAATAACTCATGTCGATGGCCACCATGGAAATGCCCATGCCTACATTCCGCAGACAGCAAACGCTGCTCTAAATGGTGCCATTAGGTCCTCTGGGTGCGGCTTCCCAGCATCAAAAAAGAGAAAGCACCCGGAGTTTCCATTTTCAACTTCAGTAAATGGTCAATCTGCTCACAGCTTTGTGCATCCGCTGGTATTCCCTTTTTTCCCTCGAATATCTATGCAACGGATAGAAAATTTATTTGCTTGCGTATCATGTTTTATTTTCTCTTCTGCATATGTTTTCCCCGCTTATTTGATGGAACTAATGCAATGTACAAGTGCTGCCTAGTTAATTACCCATTCCACTCACAGGAGAGTGCTCTTCATTAAGGAGGTCCTTTTGGATTAATTCTAGTTTATATTTGGTATTTAGACTTGTATTTAGTTAATGGAGAATGGCTGAGAAGATGGGAGCAAACTCTAATCAAATCATATGGTTTCATCAACTTGGGTATGCCAGTGGACCTAAGCCACTAATGTCAAAGGAAATTTGGCCTGAACATTCAGAGAGTCTGATTTATAGTGTTATATTGGTTCTTCTCAGGTATCCTGTATAGATCAGAGTGAAAATGTGTGTCAAATACTTACTCTTGATGTTGGCATTGACTCATTCATTAGTAAAGGGCTTGTTGTACTAGTTTCACTTAATGATTCAGAGACACGTAGGATGGCTATTTGTGGTTAAGAGATTTTAGACATGGCTATTGAAGTTCCCAAGGCATGGTATGACTATTAGTTGTTCATGTTTTTTGATTGCTTCTTTGTTGCAGAGATCAGGATGCGCAGGAGAATGAGTGTGTTTACTGTTAGAGATAGGATACGAAACAAGCATATATGTGAAAATGTTGGACTAGCTCCAGTGGAAGATAAGATTAGAGAGAGTCGTCTTAGATTGTTTGGTCACATAAAACAGCGGTCTTCCGATTACCCGGTTAGAAGAGTAGATGTATTAGATTTGACTTATGTTAAGAAAGGTAGAGATAAATCTAAAAAGACTTGGTTAGAAAATATTAGAAATGACCTTTCTTTATTAGATTTAAATGAGAATTTAACTCTTAACAGAACACCATGGAGAAAAATGATTCATGTAGCCGACCCCACGTAGTGGAATAAAGGTTTGATGTTGTTGTTATTATTGAGTGTTAGCATGATAACTGTTGCAAATTCATGTTTAGCGGATTTGGTGGCATAAAATTTTTGGCCCAAATTGGTGTTATTTGGTAAGGCTTTATGTTGGCCTACTTATCGAGTTGAGGCTTACATCCATAAAAAGGATCAAAAGGGGGAGTTAACAACCTCAAGGGTAAGGAAAGCCCTGAAGACGGGGTTTGAATTTAATGGTTTATCTGGTTTTATGTCAGTGATCACTTGTTCTGTTTTTTTTTAAGTATATATAAAATTTAGATAAACCTAACGTCTTTAAAAGAATAATCCAATCTGTATAGAATAATAGTTGAACTCTGGATCATTCATTCATTCATACTGTGGCTTGATTCTAGTATGATTGTTTTAACCTTCTACATGTGATTCAGTCTTCTCATTTTCTATATGGGTGATCATATATTTTATGTCTTCCTTCTTGGGAAGAATCAACAGAAACAAAATAGGATTAAGAAGTAATAAGGTTGATGAACCCTCTTATTGTACAGTTTGTGGTGTGTGGGATCCGAAAATTCGGCCTCGGCCTCCGCCCGCTTAATACTTTTTCTTCAGCGAGGGGGAGTTTTAACGGAATAAGTTCTGGGGTAAATTTTGAGAAGGCAAATGGGTTTGTAGATAAGACACTACCTAGAGATTTCCCCCTCATTTTGCGAGGACTTTATGATCTGAGTTCTGGTTTCCTATAGGCGCAAGCCCATATAGTTAATTACCCCTCCCAATCATGAGAGAGAACTTTCGATTAAGGCCAGTCATCAATCAGATACGTTGTATTCATAGATACATAGTATCAGGCATATAGTATCAGCATTGGTATCAGGATGTTGGAGAATTTGAAAGTTTGATATTTAATATTAAAAATTGCACCATCTTGTACTTAAAGCGGATGGTGGGGGAATGGATGATAGACCCGATCAAGATCCCATGGTTCAGTTGTCCCGGGCCATCATGGTCCTTGGTCTACTTAGTCAGAGGAGGTAGTCGACCCAACCTGACAGAAGGATCCTTGTCGGCAGCCATATGATGCTTCGTCCAAGGGGACCTTGTAGACCTAGGTTGGATATTTGCCTAAGGGGACAAATTTGAATCCATTTTAGCTAACAGAGGGCTTTGTGCCCTATCGATTATATCATATTGATTCATATCTCAAGGATTTGATGCCAATAAGGAACGTATTGGCTCTGGTCATAATCGGTATTTTGTGGTGCCATTTGGCGACAAAACCACTCGGTTCAGAGGGCCCTGGGTCATAACTGTTTATCATGCGGTGCCATTTGGCGGCAAAACTATCGTTTAGAGGACACGTACCACGTCCTTACTGGCAGGAGATCGTTTGATAATGATTCCTAATGATATTTTCGACTAGGCATTAGCTCCATGTGAATTGAAGTAAATTTTAATTTGTCCACCCCGACAAACTGTTGCGGAGGGTGGATGGATTTTGCTTTAAGTGATTGATATGTTGAATCTCAATTTTAAATATTTAGATTTTGGGATTTTTAGATATTTTTGGGTATTTGGTTTGAACTTGAAATATTTGGAATTAATCCCTCCGGTTGAGATCTTCGTTCAACACGGCCATCATCGGGGTGACGTTAAAATCACTTATATTTTTGTAGAAATTTGAATTTTGTTAAAGGTTAGAGGCATTATAAATTATTTGAGATTATCCCATCCGGTTGAGATCTGCATTCAACACGGCTATCATCGGGGTGTTTTTGGGGTCATTTTTATTTATAGTTGGAACCTTGTCGACCCTATCAACTTGTCGATAGGGAATCGGGTTTTGTAGGTTTTATGCCTTTATTAGTGAATTTTTTTGATTGTAGGCCTTGAAGGCCTAATATGAATATATTAAAACAAGTACATCAGTCGCCACAATCCTGTATTTGTTTAATAGTTTGAACCCTATCAACTCCTATTGATTCGCATAGAAGGATCAGGTTCGAACTTGAATTCACTTATTAACCCGTGCAGTATCCCTAGATGTCACATGTGTACCATTAACATGCTCGCCGGTGCCCATGCAGGTGTTTGGGGGTATTTTATAATATTTAATGAACCTTGTCGACTTCTATTTACTTAGGAGGATCGGGTTTCATAATATTTATGGTTTTATTAATGAATTCTCATTGTTATAGTCCTTGAAGGCTTAATATGAATGTATTAAAACAAATATATTGGTCGCCGCAACTATATATTTGTTTAATAGTTCGAACCCTATCGACTCCTATTGATCTATATAGAAGGATTGGGTTCGAACTTGAATTCACTTATTAACTCGCTCAGCATCCCTAGACATCACGGTGTTCCCACAGCACGCTCATCGGGGCCCATGTGTGTTGTGATTATATTTTCCCCTTTAATGTACCTATGTGTATATAAATTACGGTGCATGTGCGGGTTACTTTGAAATATTTGTAAACGCCTTTTGTCCGCTTGCATGAATATTGCGAATCTGGTGGCGGTATTATATGGATGTTGTGAGGCACCTTATGATCTTGATGTTGACTTTCCTTTTCTCGTTCACCGTGAGGTCCTTCTTGAAATTCATGACCGCTGCTTTGAAAAGAATTACTTTCAAGATCTTCGATTTAGTAGACCTCTGTATAGTTGGCCTTCAAAATGAATAGATGTATCTAGGTGCACTTGGTATTTCCATTTTTTTGTGGATGTTAGAACTGTTTGCTTTCTGAGTATGGGACCAAGAAGGAATTTTGAAACACCAGGAAGTTTAGTTTGAATTTGTTCAAATATTTCTTCCATTGTACAGGGAGGTGTCCTTCTCCGTATATCAAGTTGTTTTCATACCCAGTGTATTCACACATCTCAATCATCGTTGTTGTAGGTGATATATGTACTTGTGTCCACAAGGGTTCGTGGTTCTTACAATTTCGTGATATATGACTTTGTAGGGACTATTATAGGAGTCTGCTGCACTCATCACATATTCAATCTTCTCTGCCCGTCGTTGTATGTTGTCTTTCAACATTCGTAGATAATAACGATATTTATCTACGAATTGTGGTTTCAATACTATCATTGCTTGAATGTGTGAGCATGACATTTGTCCCTCATAGGTCCATAGATTATTTGTTATAAGTTGGTATCTATAACTTCTGTTGTCAATGAAGGTTCTGAAAACTTCTTGATTATTCCTCTAGCTATAAGTTCTAATTCGTCCCAACAAAGATTAACAAATGCTTGGTCATTGAAAAGTTGCAAACAATCACCATTCTCTAAGCTCTTTAATATCAATATTCCTTTCTTCTTGTAGTGGATAGATATGTATACTTGCCACAATGTTATTGCCAATGATGTGGACAATTATCATCGCCTTTCATACTCACCTTGCCTTGTAGAGAAATTAGATATCCAAGCTTTACTTATAGTATATCATTGCACCACTCATGGGTAAATCATTGTATGCATTTAGAATGAACATTTGCAAGATTTCGACGGGAATCATCCTCAAGTCTCACCTTAAGTGCATGGAATGTTTTCATCATTTACCATACTTACATTCATCTTCTCATGAGAATGATTATCGCTGACATGTGAAGACGATTCAAATATTGTATAGCAAACTTGTTTGATAATGTTTGCATTCCAATTGGGATGATCGTTACAAGCTAATCATTCAAAAATTCAATGCAAAAGTTTGTAATCAACTCATACATGTGGGTTCCGAAAAATTCCATTTTGTGTGATCCCGGCCTCTCAGTGCCATCAATTTATTTTTCTTTTATTTATTTTGTGTGATGATGAAGATAGAGAGTTTTAACTAGATTATGTTCCGAGGGAATTTTTAGAAGGCATATTGGATTTTTAGATAAGACACTACCCATATATTTCACCCTCATTTTGTGAGGACTTTTTTTTATTTGAGTTCTGGTTTCCTATAGGCGCAAGCCCCTATAGTTAATTACCCCTCCTAATAACAAGAGAGAACTTTCGATTAAGGCTAGTCGTTAAGGATGTCGTATAGGTTGT